TCTGGGGCTCCCCTTGACAGACGCCAGACCCTCACCTTTGCTCCCCAGAGCTGAGCAGAGCCAGATGCCACCCTGACCAGCCCGAGTCCCCCGCGGCTCAGCAGATCTGCCCGGGACCCCACAGACCTGCAGGAAGGGCACACAGCCCTCCCCTTTCTCTTGCCCTCAGTCCCGGTAACCTCGAATGATGCATCCATCCCAGCAACCTCGGGTTTGCGGGGCTCCCGGGCCCTTCAGGCAACTCCCGCCTGGGAACACATGCACATTCCAGGGCCCCCACTCCCCACCTGCACCAGATCACCCCAGCTGGGTAGGGAAGGTGGTGAGTGTCCTGTCCTCCCCAGTGCCCAAGCACCATGGTTGGGGTCTCTAAACCTCCCCACGCCCCAGTCATCCCCTTACCTGCGGGAAGGCTTGGAGTGTCCCCAGGAGCGACAGTGCCAGGGTAGCTCGGAGGGCGCGCATCCCGGGCAAGGTGGAGGCCCGCACATGTGATGCCGGCTGGGCGCTCCAAGCCCGGGTGCTCGCAGCTCCCTCCCCGCCGCTCACCAGCAGCCCGCACCTGGCAGCCAACCACATGCTGCGAAGTCACTGCCAAAGCGGCAGCCCCTGGTCCAGGTCCCGTCTTAATCCTCCCTCCCCCAGCCACCTTGAGGAGCTCCACTACCCGGAGCGCTTCCAGGAATGAGCCCACTAGCTGCACAGAGAAAGGGGCCAACACGTGCAGAATGACTCAGGACAGCCGCAGCGGAGGCTCCCCCTTGCTGTTTGAACGGCCCGCCCCGGATTTGACGGGCCAGTCCCGGCTCCAGGGAGTTTGTTGCTGGCCCCAGGAGGGCTGGGGGTGGGGAGCACAGCTGGGCCCCAGATATAGAGCACCCACAGGAGATCAGGAACCCTCAGGGGCTCCGGGGACCCTACCCTCACCCACCCCAAGGAAAGATGACACAGTAGTAGTTGCCTGACACTGCATTAATCTGACCTTCTCCCATGCCCTGGGGATTATTTGGAATCAGGAGGCTGCAAAGAAACCAACCACTGCCCGCTCATCCTCATTCATAAATATTTGCTGTAAAACACATCAGTGGAAGGAAAAT